TTTATGTCTTCTTACCTCCCTCTGTTTGCTGATATTGTATTTCTACAGGGGTTTTCCTCCATAACAAGATATGCCTCTCTTCTTGGATGTGCTTGTCTCTTCCCTCTACAGCCCCCTACTACTCCACTACTGGCCCACTTGGATGAAGAGACTTCACCTCTACTTGTTTGGACTTTTGGTCCTGCTGAGCATTTATAACATTTTTACAACCAGATACAGCACCAACCAGCTGTTTGGTGAGCATGACAGTGGTTCCTGTGCCCCCCTTGCAGAGGACACAGCTTGCACCACCTGTCCAGTAAATGACAATCCATCTTCAAGAGCTGCAGACTGTTATTTGTTTTTGCATCAAATTGTGGCTCAGCAGGGTGCCTGTTGATCTGGGCTAATTTGAGCGTCCGAGTGGGGGAAAGCCTGTTTGATCACTCAGGTTTTTTATATCTATACCTCACTTTACATCTTGCTATGTTCTCAGTATCAGAGCCGGTATCAGTTTTTAGAATAGAATAGAATACAATATTCCTTTATTGATCCCCCACGGTGGAAATTTTTTTTGTCACAGCAGCATCACAGACAAAGAGTGCAAAAATGCAGTTAACTTAAATAAATGTAATAAGGAAAAAATTAGAAAAAGGGAGAAGAAAAATAAAACTATCTACAATATACACAATTTAAATGCCAGAAAAAAGTGGTGGTGTGAGTCCACTTATTATCACAGTTCGTTGTAAAGTCTTATTGCAGAGGGGAGGAATGACCTGCGGTAGCGCTTCATCTTGCAAGGTGGGAGTCTCAGTCTGCTGCTGAAGGAGCTGCTTAAAGCCCCCACAGTCTGATGCAGTGGGTGAGAGGGATTGTCCATGATGGATACAAGCTTTGTTAACATCCTCCTCTCACCCACCTCCTCCAGGGAGTCCAAGGAACAGTCCAGGACAGAACTGGCCCTCCTGACCAGTCCATTCAGTCTCTTCCTGTCCCTCTCGGTACTCCCTCCTTTTAGCTGATCACCTGCAAAGTGCACACTAGAAATCCATGCAATATGTTGGGATTTACATGCGATTTAGAGCTTGTTATGTAAATCGGGCCCTATGTATGGAAGTCAACATTTTAAGAAGAACCTAAATGGGGATCTCTTTACTTTTGCAATCAGCCCCCAGTGGACACCTGAAGAAATGCAGGTTTTTGCACCCCTAATTTGGCTTCATTTTTCAACACCACTCACTGCCTCCTGGTGTAGACATTATTTCACGAAGCAAATGTCTTGAGACAAATCATAGGTGTGTGGTCATTATATCATCATTATCATGACTGTTTTGCTCCAGCTCTGACCTGGGATAATTCCCAGCTCCACACAGCTCCAGGAGACAGGACGCGGGGCTGAATCCAATTACCTTTCTGCTAATGCGAAGTCTTAACAGTTTTCTAAGCCAAATCTTGTTTCAGTGTCATACAGTTCTGAAACAAGATTTCCACTGTCAGGCTAATGCTGATTTTCCAACCTCTGCTCCATATTTTTTTTTTTCACAATGACAAAGGGATCAGAGTTTTTTTAATGGCAGTCAAATCATGGAGTAAGTGCCTGTTAGCTGGGTCTCCTTAAGGAGCTCTGGAGAGATTAGTGCTGTCATAAGGAGTTTAATGTCTTCTCTCCTCTATTGTTAAACCAGACTTCAGGCACTCTTTTTTTTCACTGGGGCATGTGATTACTTTGCAGAAGAATTTTTAAAATCCCTGTTCAAAGTGAACTTCATGACACCTATCCTCAAGATTCAGCAGATGAATGTTTATTTCACAGGGTTGCGGTGTGACTTTGGGCAGGGGATGTGATGCTGTGACTGAAAACATGTTTTCTCAGTGTGAACTGTGTCCTCATGTGACAAACCTTATCTTCTCAAGGTAACACCAAACACCTGGCAATAATCCAAACAGACGCTCAGGTGGGTCACTCAGTTCATTACCCCTGACTGTGTAAAACACTGGAAATGAACACCCACATGATTTTTTGTTATAATGTTAACTTGGCAAGGTTTGAATGGAAAAATAATCCAATTAAAGTAGAACCACAACATAGACTCAGGTTGACTCATGTATCCCAGAGAGAGGCAATCAATCAATCGATCAATCAGTCAAGCAAGCTTTTTTTATATAGCACTTTTCATACATGTCAGATGCCACTCAAAGTGCTTCCCAGTGATTGGGAACAAAACAGCTAAGAGTGGGAATACAATTAAAATAGAACCTGGAATAATTATTAATGAAAAAAAGGAAAAACAGGATAGGGTTAGGGTTAGGGTTAAGGTTAGAGACTAATGCACCCCAAAAGCAGTAAAATACGTGTAATTGAAACATGAAAAGAGTTAAAACATGGAAGAAATATGTGAAATATATCATGTAAAATGATGAAAAGATAAATAGTTAAAATATATAAATAAAAACATTAAGCTAGCAATTACAAGAGTTTGGAAAAAAACCAACAAAATAACAATTTAAAACAGCAAATAACAAATTTAATAAAATTTTACAAAAAAGCCAGACTAAACAGATCGGTCTAAAAGCCTCCATATTTGGGACAAGGACTCACGGTGCAGCATTTAGGATAAGCTGCAGCTGGTTAATGGTATTCTTTGGTAGACCATTAAGAAGAAAAATACAGCAGTCAAGTCTGCTTGTTTTAAAAGCATGCATAAATCCCTCTCTCTGTGTGAAACAGCCTCACCTTTAGATAGTAAAATGCTGTTTTTGTTACAGAGCATGCATGTGGTCTAAAATTAAAATCAGAATCAAATAAAACACCTAGATTTCTTGCTGCTTGGCTAGGAGTTAGTCCAGACTTTTTAAGTGTAGAGGCCAGGTTCTCTCACTGAGCCTTTGAACCAATGATGAGTACTTGTGTTTTGTCCTGGTTAAGCTGTAAAAGGTTTTTTGACATCCAGCTCATAATATCTGAAAGGCAGTTAAAAAGTGAGTCTATTGGCCCAGTGTCTTCAGGGACCTCAGCCATGTAGAGCTGAGTGTCATCAGCATAACCATGGAAAGATGCTAACTATATCCTGATGATTCTACTGGATACGGTATACAAATTAAAAAGTAATTGTCCTAAAATTGATCCTTGTGGTACCCCACAGGTCACCTCATAGTGTTGGAAGAAGGGATTGATTAATGGAAAAGAAAAACTTTCTTTCACAAAGATGTGAGGTAAACCATTTTAACACATTTCCACAAAGGGCTGGATTACTTAATTTATCTAAAAGAATTTGATGATCAACACTGTCAAAAGCGGCAATGAAGTCCAGTATTACCTAGTGTAGCCAACTCCACAGTCACTAGTCAAAAGTCCCTAGTGGCTGTCCTAGAAATTATTAAATTATACCAAAAGCAAATTTCAGAGGTGGGCACAGTTAAATTAATCATAAAGATCAATTCTGTAATCAGTCAGTGTAGACATGCTTAACATGTGTTTTCACAGTTAATAAACACAAGTTATTATCATTGGATCTCTTGCACATTAGTGTAAGGTGATATCTTAAATCTGTGAATTTATCTAACAGTTCTTTCTTCAGTTTTGAAATGTAGTTGTTTAGATTTTAGTCTGAATTATGTATCTAAATTTGTTATTCTTCATTAATATTGTTATTTGCTCTGTTTGAAATAGATGATAACAGCCTGCTCAGTCTGCTTACAGCCAACACACACATAACATATCCTCTAACAATGAGGTGTGAAATATATTTTAATCAAAATATATCTTCAGATACTGATGTAGACAGCAAAGGGTCTGAACTTTGTTTTGCTTTGGGGTCACCGCAGTTCTTTTCTAGCATTTGTGCAAAGAAGTCACATGGCGAGGAAATCCAATTTAAGCTGGCAGTGTTAAGAGCAGGAAAAACCTGTGGGGGTTGGTGTTGGCTTGAAATGAACTGATGAACTTATGGCATTAATTCTCAAATAAGACTATTTCTGCCTGAGGAAAGATAAACAGTACACAGTGTACAATGAGCTTTTAGATCCGTCTTCACATCAAGTGCTTCAATTTTTTATATTCTGTGGTAAGTATATTGTCCTAGCTTGCTAAATGAGACACCGGTTCTTATTTGTATAAGAAAACAAAAAAAACATCTTCAGACAATGTAAGAGAAGACTTAAGACATCACCTCCTGTTGAAATCATTTAATTTTACACGCCATGGTACTTCAACATTAGACACTAGGAGTCACAAGGGACGAGAATGGCACAGATCAGCTAGAGCCAGAGAGAGAGCGACTAAAGAGATTATCATGTGTCAGTTCGAGGGAATGTCTCATCCCATTGCTGGCCATCTTCACAGGAAGCCCATGTTTCTCTGCTAGGAAACATGGGATTAGTTTCTGAGCGCTGTTAGTGCTGACAGCTACAGTTTCCAACTGAGACAACTGCTGCTCCGTATTCCACTTTCCAGGGGACAACTTGAGACTTCTGATCAAACCTGCAGGATCTCAGGGACTTCAGCGGGGTACTGGTGCTCTGACAATGGGATAGACAAGGCTTTACGAAGAGTCACATGGAAGAGGACCATGACTTTTGAACATTTCTCAACTCCTGGATACTTTTTGGTTTGGCAGACCTGGTTGATTGGAAAATTTGCTGCTGACGCAGATTTTTAACCTCTATGGCTCCTCCTCAAACCCAGATTAATACTTCTGATCATGCATCCAAACAGGCTTTTGCCGATGACCGTGTCTTGGGAAATTGCAGAAATGTCTAACCTCTATAGCAACCTAAAAAGATTTATTCCGTAATGACCGAACTTAGCAAGCATGTGTATTGATGCCTCCCCTTTGACCTCCAGTGACGCGTTTCTCTTGGGAAACTCGAGACGAGACACGAGATTGAGAGAGGTCAATCATCCAGCAGGATTCAGTCTTGTCTTCAGGTAGGATGAGACAACATACAGCTGCAGGCTGGTGGACATGAGCTTGAGGCTCTTCAAGAATTGGAGGTGTTTGTTGGGGCAGGGGAAGGTTTAAATGGTTTTGATAACAGAGGAACAAAGTGAAGGTTCAAAGGTTCGAGAGAATGGAGTGCCCACAGGCATTGGACTGGGAGAGTCTGACTTTAAGACAAATAACAAAGCAATGGCTAAACCTGTTATGTCCTTCACTACCGCTAATGAAGAAGGCCATGAGGACGACGTGCCAGGTGACGACGAGGATGACTTTACTGAAGTTGATTACACACGGAACTATTGGGAAGATGAGGACGATATCTACCAGGAGTTTGAGGAATTGGACTTTGAGTCCCTTTCTGAATGCTCAGACACCAGGAGCATTAGCTCGGATGATTCTTTCTATCCTCCGGACAGTACAGATCATTCCCGAGTGTTCCGTCCACCAAGCCCAGAGAGCCCCGAGCCAATTTCCTTCTTTAAAGCCTGTTGCAACAACAATGCTATCATCGTTAAGATCATGATCAGACAAGGTGTGACCAAGGAAGAAGTAAGGGAGACGGACAGGAACAGAAGAGTAGGTGTCGTAAAATAATTTGTTTTCTTTTGTTTTCTTACTGAAACCAGAAAAATCTATGTTTTATTTACCCAGAGATCACCATGACAGTTATCAGACTTAGATACAAGAATAAAACTGTGATCCAGTTTTCTATTGAGTCCATATAACTCAATGGTATTTATGTGCAGCATCCTTACACCACCTCCAGTTTCATCATGGAGAAAGTGAGCCACCTATCCTGAAATAGCGGGATCATGACACCTGAGTGTGGCTCAAAACCAGTGCTTTAAAGGTGCAGTATTTCACAGCATTTATGGGAACAGACTTGGTAGAATTTGACTAAACTGCTCATTAGTCAGTTCAAATCTGTGTATCATTATTAAAATTGAAAAAAAAAAAGTATTTTTGTTCTGGCAGCCTAGAATGAGCCATTCACATCTATGTAAGTGTGGTCCTCACTGACAGAGGCTGTCATTTGGCCCTGCCATGTTTCTACCGTAGCACAAAATGGACAAAGTAGTGACAGTCAGGTTTTTGTATTTAATGAGCACTGCACAAAATCTAATTGGAAAGACAAAAAAGAAAGTGTTGAGTGCCAAAGAGTTTTTAGTGAAAGAACATTGTGATGGTAGAAACTTGGACAAATGGAGGATCATACCTAAGATGCATCACAGGAGCTTTTTGTCCTCAAATGCAACCATTGTTTCACCTACAGAAAGAGTGAGCAAGGATGCGTTTTAATCTAGACTTTGATTTTTAGATACCCTGATTATTTCTGTTTCTACCGCAGACTGTATTATAACTGGACACAGCAACATAGGCATCACTCATTTGTTTCTGAAGTGGGAGTTTTAAAGCCTGTTGACAGTAGTTGCTATATTGGAAATGCTGGCCTAACCTAACCTTCGGTCAACCTTACAGAGCCTTTAGCTTCTTACAAATAGCTACAGTGTGTACCTCCATCAACCATGCCTCTGATTTGCCAATCTTGTAACCTTAATAATTCAGTAAAGAACGTGTTTCAAAAAACTTAGTTCCTGTACAGTGGGTGTCGAGGGAGTCCTGAGCTATTCAGACCCAAACCTTTTTTTTTTTTTTTGTTTACCTTGTTCTGAACATGTTTACCTTTTTAGTGTCTCTTCAGAGAGGCTCAAATAGGCACTTGGGGAACTGCAATTTTTAGCACATCCACATTAACTTTATTTCTCAAAACTGGGGGTTGCAGCATTGTTTCTACACACTTAACCTTTAAATAGGAAAAATAAGTGCCATACAATCTATGCATATTGAGTCCATGTTTTTTCAGATACATTTAAGTGGTGAAACCTTGCAAACTGAGTCAGATGGATTTAGTTTTCTATTCAACACAGTAAAATGCATTACAAAAGAGAAATAATCATCAGTGTCATGGAGCAGTAGAGGTGATTATGATTCATTGAAAAGGGGAGGGAAAAAAACTGAGTCTGTCTGCTCCTAAAAACTGGACCACAGTATGAAGAATTTCTTTGACTTATACATAATTAAGCCGTAGGGTTTTACATTTTATAAAGATACCTCTTTCTGTAGCCAGGCTAACATTATAATTCCCTGTTACTCAGTTTTTTCTTGTTGATCCAGCTCTGTAGAGCCTCGCAAGTTGGAATTAATTGTGTCCGGTGTGAAAGAAAAATAAGACAATGTCATGGAACATCTCCAAGAGTTATTATCATTAAGCGTGCCTTGAGAAATGTATTTTGGGTGCAATGGTGAAACAGCAAGAGAGCCTGTAAAATGGAGGAGACAGGAAGGGGTACTGGCTTCTGGTAGACGTCTTTGTTTGCAGAAAAAGTCCTGGTTTGCTGAGAAGTGGTAGTACTGCATGCTTAAGTATACCAGCTCTATCTCAGCACTGTTCAAAAATTGTTCTTCATATCCCCTCAGTGTATCTCTGTTCAAGGGTAAACGAACACCTTAAGCTTGTTGGTTTTTTTTTTAATTTTTCACTCCACAACCAGTACAAAGATGCTCGATATGCACACTGTTCTGCTGTGGTGTTTAACGTGACAGACTGGAAACACATTATTATCACCCACTGTTCTTGTACGCTTTTTTGGATATTTCCAACCATTTTTGCATGTCATGTAGACAGAATATTACTTGAAAACAAAGGAGGAATACTTCTGTTTTCAAAAGTACCAGTGTGGACTAGACCTCAGGGTTGGACTATCCCTGTAGTCCAGCATTCATACAATCTGTTTTTAGTATATAATTTGTTGTCCTTCTTTTTAACTGTAACACATAGGGTATCTTTACTATTTTTCATTATGCTTATCATCAGGTCCAGCTCAGTCACAACACAAACTACACAACACAAACAAATATAAATCGTGAAAAGCAGGGACTCGCTCTCATACGTAACTCTCCCACAGACACGGGATAAAACACGGGTTTACCCTGAATGAACTCCATTGTTTTCCTCATCAGCAGTCACATCAGGATTGTTGTTTCAGGCCAACTGAGCCTGGATCAGGTCCTGAACTCAGGTGAGCCACTGAAGGTCAAACCCTGAAGAGGGTTAAGCCTTCAGTGACAGATGGGAGGCTGTAACCACACAGTGACTGTGTCAAAAGCAGCTTGCTCCAAGGGTTCTGTCTTTAAAAGGCTCACTAAGACATTGACCTGAGCACTGGGTAAGCAATACTATAAGCCGTCAGGGCTAAAACAGAGCGCAGAGGTCCTCAAGGTAACAGTGATATCTTTGAAGACACCCAGTAGAATATGAGCAAACAAATATTTCAAACACAAAGAACTCAGTGAAGTGGATGCTGGATGTACCCATAATAACTGTTACATGAGCATCAGACTGGAATCCTGTATGAAGAATACACCATGAATAAACCGTCTATGCCAGGATACTAAAAAATGTCTTAACCCTCAGCATATCATAGAGTTGACCCTAAACACTTTTTGGTGTCTGTCTCAGGCTGTTGTGTGTATAAAAATACTGGAGGTGTCCATTTTAATCATTGATTTGTTAAATACCTCTTTTAAGCCCTAAGTTCTGCTCTGTGGTTATTGCCATGTTGACCATAACTTTTTGACAGGATACTTTTGAAGAACCAACAGTTTCAAGCTCAAAGAGATTTTTTCTGCTACAACAAGTCAGAAAGTATGTTGTACAGTAGGCATGATTGTTGTTTGATCTGGCAGATGTAGGGTTACAGATAGATCAAGGTTTTTGGCTCTAATTTTGAGCCTATGCAGAGATCTTTCACAACGGACTCCTATCTGTTTTTAAAAGAGTGCTACCTGGGGGCTCAAAGGTCATGGCTGTTGTGGCCTAATAACCCAGATTAAGAAACAATCAATAACTCAAACTTTAAAAAAGGCCAATCCTTCCAAAAGATTCTCTTCTGTCCCCTCCTTTTTGGAGCTTCATCGTTTTAGCTCTTTTCCTGCCATTAAATTACAACAGTAAGCTGTGTGTGTGCCTTTATCCTGTTCCCCTAGTTTGACCTCTGACCTTATGTCCCTGATCAGAGAGAGAGAGAAAACTGGAACGCTTTCCTGTTTAATATCATTTAAATAAACTTGGGACAGTTTTCAGAGTTTTTGATGGATTGGTAAATTCTCTTTTGGGAAATGTCTGTACTATAGATGATTAAATATCTGATCTCTTTACATTATTGTTAAATCATGGACTGTTTGCTTATGCAGTCTGAGAGGTGAATATCCCCCATCTTAACCTCTGAAAACATTTGATTTAAAACATGTTATATATGTGCTCTAACATGGTTTTATTTATTGTGTTCATATATTACTATTTTCAGTAAAAAAAAAAAAAAAGTTCTGTATTAGAACAAGTTCATTCAGGAAGGGGCATCTTTCAATTTGGATTGTAAAATTTGGATCAATATGATATATCGGTGGTGGTAGCTGTCATCTCTCAAAAAGCTGCTACACCTAGCTCGCTAGCAGTCTGCTATTTCTTCTTCATCTACCCTCTGTTTTATGCCATGTGGCAGCTAGCGGAAAAGACCACTTCCGGTATGACTGAGGCACCGACCTCAGTAAAGTGAGGTCAGATCATGGCTCCTTGAAAGTTGGAAAATCTCCCATGATATTTGTAGATAACTTAAACTGGATTTTAAGTGTTTTCCTAAATAACATATTAGCTGTAAACATCTTGGCTCAAAGAGATGAATGTGAATGAACTGGCTTCCACTTTGTCATTTACTATACAACAGAATAAAACAAAAAACTTCTCTCTGCACTGCTCAGCCTTAGGCACACATGAGGGCGAGAGCTTGATGGTATAATATGAATGATTTAATACCAGACATCATGTAAAATTGTGCTCTTCTGAGAATGATACCATTTTAATAATTACTGTGAATAATTTGTGTAACTAGAAGCACATACCGAGACTGATGCATACTTTTTATGGTCAAATTGTATATTTTATCTTAAGCCCAACGTCTCCTAAATTTGCAGGTTCTGGTTTTCTTTTTCTCCCATCTTCGGTGGTGGTTTGTGAGTGCAAAAAGCTAACATAAATGCTGTATTGTCATGTGACCAAGCAAGTCAACACAAAATTCTACAGTAGACAATGTAGATTTGATCATGCAGTCAGACATGTCTCAGATACTGTATGTTCTGTCAAAAATTTAAGACCTCCCACAAATAAAAAAAAAAAAAAAGGTTTTCTGAGACTTTTTACGGTTGCATGGGAACCCTGATGCACTCACCATAGGTCCAACAAATCGTGTTTCAAAGGGCTGTTTGGGGACCTAAAGAGTTCACTCTTATTGGAAACCTGAACCAAATGATCTGGATCACTAAAAGCCTACATCACTTCACTATCACGCGCTTTAACTATGTGCCTTAGCTGTACACACCATGGCATTAGGAGCTATTCACTTCCCCAGTCTACAAATATCAAATATCATGGCACTTCTCGCACATCTGTGTGAGTCAGACTGTGGCTAAGAAGTGGGAGGATCTCCTGTGGCTTTACCTTTAGGTTTTTATACTCTTTACATCCTTTAGCTGTACCTTTTGGCCTCTGCCATGTTGGTCCTGGCACTATAAGTTACAATAATTGGATAAGAGGGAGGTGCTGTAGTGAAGCCAACAGGTTAGCAAATGCCAAGTTATCAAAGCTATACAGTTAATGTCCTTGCTTGGCTCATTTATTAGTGGGTGAAAACATGTGTTTCTACATGATGAGGTTTGAGTTTTGAGCGTATCTGACTGGAAATTTTGTAAGATAACAAACCTTATACAGCTCATCAGTTTTACTCAATGCAGCACGTTCTCCACACAGGTCACTTTCACCACCAAGCCAATGAGACCAGGTTTGTGAATAGGATGGCAAGAAAAAACAGAGACACACCTCTGGCAGCTGAACCAAATCAGGACACAATTTAATTGATCAATTTAATTTGCAATCAGGACATCAGAAGCCAACACAGATTATCAGCCCCTGACCATCTTTGCATGTATTGTTCAAAAGTGACAACATGTGCCTTGTATTGATTAAACTTATGATAATTATTAAAGACATGTCAAGGTAATAGAAACAGACCTTGTGTGCAGATTGATTGAGGTTATTCAGAGGTGGAATGTTGTCACAATCACAGCAGAGTGACACCCCTTATAAATGCTGTGGTTAAGTTATTCTCTACTCTCAGCAGATCAAATGAATCCAATTAAAACTTCATTTCTAAAGCACTTTTCATACAAGATATGCACCCCCCCCCAGCACCACCACCACCACCAAGACCCCACCCCAGCCAACACATTCACACACAATGACACACAATGACACACACACACACAATGACACACACACACGCACGCGCTAAAATATCATTTAAGAATAAGTAAATAGATAGAATAACATAACATGTAAATGAGGACTAAAATATGTCAATAAAATAGAATAAGATAAAAATGTAGATAAGAATAAGACATTAGTTAAAAGCCAAATTAAATAGGTGGGTCTTGAGCCTGTATTTAAAAATTTGAAAATCCTCTGCAGCCTTCAGGTCCTCAGGCAGGCTATTCCACAGACAGGGGCCATAGTGCTGGAAAGATGCTTTACCGTAAGTTTGAGAAGCAGACAGTAAAATGTTTGAAGTGCACACAACTGTGAGCACCAGTGTTTGTAAAATAAATATTTTTGCAGTGTGACCCATCTGTTAACTCTGCCACAACTGAATTAAAAAGTCCAGGAATACTTTTTGTTTTGCAGTGTCCTGTCTGGTGCATTTAACCCCTTGCAGGCACCTTGTGAACTCTTAATTGCACAGGTTTAGCAGGTGCAAAAGCTGCACAATCCCCTCATAAATCCAGCCCTGGATAAGCCGGCTGGCGAGGTAATAAAAAAGTAAAGATACAGCGACCTGGAAGGCCCTTAGATAGGTAAAATGAAACTAGATTTTCAGCCAAGACTGAGAGCGTAAACCTCTATTTATAAATGTGGACAAAAGGAGATGAATGAATAAAAGGCTCATTGTCTTTATTCTTTTCTTACACATTTGGCTTTCTGCATTCTGTAAAATTTCCCCCTTCTTGAAAGTTTAGGGCTTTTGGCTTCTTTTCTTTAACCAAGATGCTAAAATGCTGATCTGTGGGGTTACATAGGACACTCAATGCAACTGTTGAGGTCATCCTGCGTAAAAGAGGCCTAGAGGGAGCAACAAGGTCTCAAAGATGAAGATGAGAGGTCAGTCTGGACAGAAGGGGGGTACTAACTGATTGTTTTAACCCTATAGGCATGATCATTTCCTAAACCTTACCACACACTTTGTGTATCTAAGCCTAACTGAACTTGGAAAATTACCTGAAGATCATCTAAAAAGTCCCTCTGCAGTGAGAGTCAGATAACAGATGGTTAAAGAGTTCCAGTGAGAGGTTATAGGACAACTTTAAGTGATACAGGGGTTGATACAGATTGAGGATTTCCAGTCTTTACCACATTTGACTTTCCAGACTAAAAGAAGGCTACAAAGCTTTCTTAACCTCCTTACAGGCGGCTTTTGACCCCCTGAGCTCTTATCAGACAGACTTCTGCTTGTTTAGGGTTGCATTTTTACCATCTCGAAGTCTGTAATTTGAACCATGGCTTGCTACTTGCATTATTCTAATTTTAACCCTCACATACATCATTGGAGGATCAAAAACGAACATCTTGAATTGTTTCCAATACCTTTGCAATGAAAACAATAAATGTAGTCAGATTCCCGCCAATACAAAACAAACAAACAAACAAACAAAAAAAAAAATTGTCATGAAATTTCATTTAGATTAAAAAAAGAAAAACAAGAAGAACAACTAACATAATGGAATATGGAATGGAATACTGGGAATTGACAGTAATGTCAGTTTTAACAAAATTAAAATTATATATATACATATATATATATATATATATATTGTTTATATATATATATATATATATATATATATATATATATATATATATATAAATGTATACACACATAACATATGTATATTTATTTTATTATTATTATTTTTTAAGAACAAAAATCAATCAGCAACTAACAGAGGAAACTAAAGCATTCTTGTTTTTCTGTTTCAGTCTGGTTTGATTGTGGCGTGCTACCATGGTTACGTGGACGTGGTCATGGCTCTCTCTCAGTGTCCATATCTGGATGTTAACTGGCAGGACAACGAGGGAAACACCGCTCTTATTACTGCAGCACAAGCAGGTAAACACAGCTCAGGCCTCTGAGTTAAAAACTTAGAGCATGTATTTGTTTATGTATCAGAGACAAATGAAACAATCATGAATGGACATTGGGAGCATTATTGTTTTTAAAAAGCAAAACATATGAGTTTCATTTAGTTTTGTGTCTTTGCACTAATGTAGCCCTGCAAAATGTGCAAAGCTGAATTTGTACACATGCACTTATATTTAGATCACATATTGTAACAGGAAACAATTTAAACATTTCATCGAGAATGATATAAATGTCTTTGAAAACACAGTAAAGAAGGGACTGTATTTTTAGGTGTAATGTGATAATTTGAGTAATTGGTGGGTGAGACAAATGTTCATGACAGAGGGCTCTATTTTCGGCAACGCAGCACATGCACGGCGTAAGTCAGGTCCACCGCGCTGACAAGGCATTCCCAAGCACAGTTTGGCATTTTGGTGAGCGGCGCAGCCCGGCGTAAGTATCGCCCCTCCCTAACTCAGCTCCTCCCAGTGGCGTAAGTCATGGGGAGGGAGGTGAGAAGGCGTAGAGTGCGTTTAACACAGCTGAGACATGTTTTCACCAATCACATAAGCTCCTCTCCTTGCCTTTAAATCTGCCACCGGCTAGGCGTATTCCAATTTTCGTGAAGTAGTCAAAGAGATCAAGAGATGTCTGAAGAAGGCAATGCCACACGATGGCGACAGAAGGCAGCCCCTCAACAAGTGTTGCTGTAAACGCTGCAGAGAGCGTCCTCCACACTGGCTCATATGAGCACAGATGGATTTGGTGTATGTAATGTTTGACTGCGCGGGGTCCGCCACCCTCTGCCACGTCCCCGGTGGACACGAAAATAGAGCCCAGAATGTCCTTGTCATAGTCACTGCACTCACCCCTGTGTCGATGAGAGAAGAGAGGGAGAGCTGTTGTGCTGCTGGCTGTGATCCCTTTAGAGAGCATGCACTCTCCTGGTTGTGTTTTTTAACAACACAGGTTTTTATCAGCTATATCTTTTATTAAGCTGTCTGAAAAACCCAAATCGCATTTAAAAACCTTGACTTATTATTCAGTCAATCGGGAAGGCTATTAACACAGAAAAATTGAGAAAGTGCAAAATAATGTCAACAGCAACAAGCTGGAGGTTCATTAATAATGGCTTTTAAGAGGACTCAACAGCAACGAACACAGATGCTACAGGTGAGTGCAGAGAAAGTTCACTCAAGTTTATTGATCATACATGGTGAATGTGTATGGGTAAAAATGAAAAGAAGAATATGCACCAGGGGTTGGCAGGTACACTCAGGTGGATGTAAATGTACTTGGGTGGCCCACCCAAGTATCCTCTGTCATAGGAAAACAAACTCTTTAGAGCTGCAAATACAAAGCTACCACGAGTTAACAGCTATGTGAGGAATAGGGTTTATAATGTTTAATAAGCAGGATGTTTTAGTGAATTATGACAAAGCATTCTTACTCATTTCTCATCTGCTGAATACTCAATTCTCTTACCAGGGACAACCAGATCACACACTAAAAATCTAATGAATCCCTGAACTCCAGTATGTGGGATGAAAATGTTTGCTGGTCTTAAAGGTTGAGAAAGGAAGAAGAGAAATGTGATTGTCTGTAAATACCCCTTTTCGCTCCCTTTCTGCATGGGTTCCAGGTGTTTATTAAATTACAAATTTTCAATGTTATCCCTGATGGCCTTGGTTGCTTTTGTATATAAAAAAAGGCCTTGTGAATGCCAGTCTCTAATATAAGCTTTAGGTGAACTTCCTAAGCTATTGTTGCCCATAGTAAATTTCACACTCAAAGTTTTTCTTGCAGATTGGGATGGATAGTTTTTTTTTTCTCCTGTGTCTGTCTGTGATTCAAGCCTCGTCCCTGGCAACAGTCTGTTCTTCATAGCAACAGTCTGTGATGAGGAGATAGCAGACCAGTGTTCTGATGAACAAGTGGTTGCTAAGAACAACAGACCATTGCTAGGGACACAGCTTTTACAGACCCTAAGGACAGATGAATAACTTAACAGTGGTTGTAACATTCATGCTAGGGTAAGAAGTAGAAATGATGCCCTTGTACTAAGTGCCAAACAAAAAGTCAGAGATTAGTTAGCAGGGCAAACAGAGTGTAATTAGAAATTCTCAGTCTGTAAGAATAGACTCATTCATATCTGTCATATCTGTTTGAGTGAATCATACTAACACTTTCCCTCTGACTAGAATCCATTAAGTCCACTCTGTAGAGAGTTTACTTAGCTCAAGTTAACCATCATTCCCCTCAATTTATGACTCTATGAAACTGCCTAGTTAGTATTTGAGTCATATACTGTGTATAGCATTCAAGAATTGTAGTTTGTTTCCATCAAAAGCACTACATTACAGTTTGGTCTCAATTTTGTATCAATGAGCTCTTAATAGCCTTTTAATCTTATATATTCTTCTTCATGATAAATCTGTCAGCTCATTCTGAAGCTGTCTCTCAGTTAGACATGTTACTTTCCATAATTGAACGCTCTCTCTCTCTCACTACCTTTGATGCGTAATTTAAAGTGGCATAAATTTTATTGCAGGGGATTGAGTTTTAAATTGGTCCACATTAAAGCACAGAGCATAAGATGAGGTGCTTCCACCAGTGAGAATCCTTATTATTTGCAGGCATTACAAATTACCATGGTAGGTAATTTCAAAGTGATGCAGCCACATGTATCAGACATGGTGCTGGGTCTCTCATCTGCTAACAATGATGAATGGCTCTCTAAAGTCTTTGATGAATAGCTGCAGACTGCTCTTCATTTTCTGCTTCATTAAAAGAAGTATTGATCCCGGTTTGTGACAAAGTGCTCTGCCACACCTCAGGGAAGCAGGTGAGCTGGACTCTGAGTCCACAAGACTGCAGCAGAGAGGTTAGATACAGACAACACATCACTGAGGGTAGAAAATGTTGAGTCCTCAGAGATGAGCTGTGATAATTATCCACCTCCTTTTATTGACTGTGCCTCTGACTAAAAACTGAATGCTGTGTGCTAAAACCTTCATTTGTTGGATTTTCACCAGAGTCAGCTGATGTGTTTACATTGATTTATACAAAATTTACTCAGCAGGGAACCAGGGCTGCCTGATCATTACACAAATCATAAATATGATGACTTTGGTTGATATTGTGATCATGGCTATTAAGAAGGATTTTTAAAATGATTACCCATCATTTGAAAACTGATGCAACTTAAAACCTCTTCAAAACTTAAAAACTCTTAAATTTATGTAAAACAAAATAAGCATGCCTATGGACTTTTCTGTTTGGTCAGAGCCAAAATGATAGGTGTGAAACTTCCCCTGGATCTTGGACTGGACTAAACAGCCAGACCTTGGTCCAACCAAAAGAGGTGGCCTCAGTTCATACCAAGCTGAACGACAGTCTGGATCATGCCCGGTGTAAAAGCATTATTTTGAAAGGTTTGGACCTTCATTCCAATGACAGGAAATGGCGCAAGGAGTAGAAGCATCTGTTATTATGTTGAATAGAGATTGTCCATGAACAGGAAATGTTATATTATTGTAGATAAAGTTAAACCTCACTATTGACAGCTTATCTTTTCAAGCGTTTTACGACACACTATCTCTACTGAGTCAGAGTTGCATTGGATTACAGGATTGCATACTTTCTTTTCCTTTCCTTTTCCTTTGACGACGATAAAGTTGTCACCATTAGGGCTCTATTTTCGTGCCTTGCCAGAGACGTGCCGCGCCGACAAGGCATTGCCAAGCACAATTTGGTATTTTGGTGAGTGGCGCAGCCCGGCATAATTATCGCCCCTCCCTAACTCAGCTCCTCCCAGTGGCGTCAGTCGTAGGGAGGGAGGAGAGAGGGCGTGGAGTGGGTTTAACACAGCCGAGACCTGTATTGACCAATAACATCAGCTCCTCCCCTCGCCTTTAAATCCGCCACCGACGAGGCATATTACAATTTTTGTGAAGTAGTCAAAGAGATCAAGAGATGTCTGAAGACAGCAATACCACAAGTGTCACTGTAAGCGCTGCAGAGGGCGTCCTCCACACTGTCTCATATGAGCATAGATGGATTTAGTGTATGTAAGGTTGGACCCACTGGTAAGACAAACACCCTTTTCCACAAATAAAGACACTCACATAAAGTTGCATATATTCAAACCTCACGTGACAAAGGTGGGTTGAGCGCACAAATCACAAAATAAACTCCAAAAATGGCATTAAAATCGGAACCATCTGTGCGTAAAGGACGCATCGTGCTCCGTGGCCTGGCTCTTTCTTTCATAGATGTTGGCATATAAAATAAATTTGGCTCACAAAATTGAATATTATAAAATTCATATGTGGGCCTGACTCCGGATTTAATATTTACAGAATCCTAATGATGTGAGGAAATCAGATAAAGAAGTAATTTTGAGTGAAAGGTTATTTTATTTTATTTTTTTTATATTTTTTTGTTCAAATTTTCGAAGTAAATAACTCATCTGATCACTAAAATAAATCATCTGGTCAGCCGTGCCACCACAGCAGCAGCAGGACGGCGAGAAGACACGGAGACATGTCAGGTGTTGTGCCATAGAATGCACCCCTGCCCTAGAATGCACCCCCTGACAGAAGCGCGGTTGAAAGTACACAACAAGGCGAAATAATTCAAGTTTACCTTACCGTTGGACGGATTCAAAAGCGTGTGCCTTTAATGATTTCATTCCTGCTATTCAGATTGGCTAAAAACAATAGCCCTCTGATTCGGAATATTTGCTGTCCCGAAAATATAATGTTCTCTACCTTAACAGCTTACTGTATAGTTTATATACCCAAGTACACCTCTGTATGTGCATTTTTTAAATACTAAAAACAGAACGAAAGTTTGCTGCTCCATTTGACTTGTTGTCATGATCCAATACTCATGACAACATTTTTAAATATGAGATCATTTTTTTCCACTTTAAGAAGCTAATGAGTGGATGGGATGCAGGGATGCATTCTACAGCAGGGGTGCATTCTACGGCATAACACCTATCGAGCTGCGCGAGGAAGAAGGAGGATAAGCAGGGAGACAAATTAAATATTTTGTTAACTTCATCATGTGTGGCTGTTTACTGGATATTTAATTTAATGCGGTTTCAGCTGTGTTAATTCGGTCAGGTGGAGTGTCCAAACATGTGCCAAACGCACTCATCAGATCAGATATGGATCAGAATATATGATATAGATCTAAATGTATGTGCTGACTCAGAATATTGGTTGTTGATGATTATTTACTGCACTGTAATGTCCCTGACACTGTGGAAACCTGCCGGTGAGGCATTGGTGACGTTTGCATAATACGCCACGGGTCTACCAAAATACCTCGAGACCAGCTTTGCTCTGCCGGTGCTGAAAGCTGACCAGGTTTGAATCTGCAAGCTTTCAGCGCACTTTTCACACCACCAGCAAGCACCAAAATGTCGACATCTTCCCCTGCCGCGCATTCACGCCCAGCTTGGCGGACCTTGGCACGCCTCAGTCTACAAAAATACCAAACTGGCTGTACGCCAGGCTCCGCCAGACGAAAATACCACTGCGTGGGGTCCGCCACTATCAGCCGCGTCACTGGCGGACACGAAAATAGAGCCCTTAGTCTTAAGAGGAGCAGCAACTTTTTCAAGCTCTCAAACTTTTTTTCACATTGATTCGAACTGATTACGATGGAATAGAAGTGAGAGCTGTTTGAGGGGAGGGGTCTGCAACCATGCTCTGCTGTAAAGGAAGAGAGGAACGGTGCGCTTTTTTCAACATACTGGATGTAATGGGGCAACACAGCGTCTGTAGCACTCTTCAGTCTGTTTGAAATATCACATGTCAAATTTCCCTTCACACTGACACACCAGTGGCAGAGGATGCCATGAAAAATGGCCGTAAGTTTAATCTAATCACATTCACATGCTGCTGACTGTGCCACAAGGAGCAATTGGGGTTAAAGTGTCTTGCTGATTGAAAGGCACAGCAGAGCCACATCTGCCAGGGGTGTGATTACTGAGGCCAAACCACTGGGATAAAAAAAATCACATCTGAAACCTGAAAGAGCAGGTGAACATGAGGTTTTTCCAAATTTGCATATGCACATTAATGTCCTCTATGGTACGGTTTGTTTCCAAAGAACCGTAAACTTGAGATAGAAAACAAAAAAGAATCTGTTGAGGAGCCTAACAGACTTAAATTAACTGTGATATCTGATTAGGAATATATGGACTTCTTTGTTTAATATACTTTAATACCCCTCACCACAGACACTTGTCAGAAAAGGTTTTATTTTTTTATTTAAATTGTTCAAAATGAATGATTTAAATGAATTAAATTATTTTAAAAAAATGCAAATATTGCCTTTTTCATCAAAAAAAAGAAAAGAAAAGAAAAGACAAAGTCATCAAAGTAGTACAGTAGTAGTAGCATCTTTTGACCCACAGAGGTCACCAAAATAGCAACAGAGGGGAAGGTTGTCACAGTAGCTTTAAAAGTGTTAAAAATACAGATTTATCAAAATGTCTCCTTCTGTCTGCAGGTCATATATTCATCTCTAACTACCTGCTGAACTACTTCCCTGGGCTGGACATCGAGAGGAGAAACTGTCATGGTTTCACAGCTTTGATGAAGGCCGCCATGCAGGGCCGAGCTGAGTGTGTCAGGACTCTCATGATGAATGGTAAAAAAAACACTGACATTTCCATAACCAAGACCAATGCACCATTGTCATCTAAAAACTTAAATCCATAAAACCAACCTCACTGTACATGTACCTGTTGTTATAATAACTGCTGTATTTTTAGATTTTACACATTTGAGCCAAACCTCATAAATGTCAATGAATGGTGTGATTGAATCCAATAGGGTTCAATAGATGACAACTTTTAAAAAGAAATGAAAAAAATATGCTGATTAACACCTTTGTCATAATTTTACATGGGTCTGTTTTATAAAATAGCTAACATTTTTCACACCCATTGATATTTAGATTGTATTATATATACAGTTTAATATTAGTATTTAAAAATAGGTTGTTTTCCTAAAAATGACAACATTTCAGGCAAAAAGCAGAGAAGATCACATTTTCTAAGAAATAAGTATTTTTGTCATTTCTAAGTAAAAAAATGTATGGGATACTTGCGGTTTTTTACCCATTTGATATGATAACATTGACTGCATGATTTTCTCTGTCTGTGAACGCAGGTTCACTGCCGGAGGTGTGTGTGTTTCTTGGATGTGTTTATACAAGGGTGCTGTCATGGGATTGAACATTATAGGCCCACTGTTCTCACACCTTGTAAGCTATAATGACCTTTGGTCACTTTTCCTCTAGTTTCAGTCTATAAACGGGTCTTCATGCCTTTCTTTTGTTCTAGTTTAGAGAATTTAAAGCATATTATACCCATGCACAGTTCTGTGCTTAAAACATGGGTATAATACGCTTTAAATAATACATGTGTCTTGTCCTGTTCAGATGGAGGATGATGACGGCTCAGTTTAAGTTGTGACATAAATAAGTATCAGTGGAGTCATCTGCTTTGTTTCATATAAATATTAATAATATACATAATAGGCTAAGGTGCAGTCCCCATGACGACGCATTGTCTGAGTCTAATCTTTTGCTGAATCAGCAGTATTTCCCTCTCTCTCTCATTTCCACCTGTCTCCTCCCTGTTACTGGTGGAGCTTCTTCACTTATTAATAGTCAAGGTAGACAAGGTACTCCACAGCACCACCCGTCATACTTCAGTGAAAACAAGGATTAACTCTTCAGACCACAGCACACTTTTTGACACAGGGTTCATCTGTCTCAGAGCCAGAGAAGGCAGCGGCTTTTCTGTGTGTTGTTGATGTCTTTGCCCTTGCATGGTAGAGTTTTAACTTGTAGCTATTGAAATGACATTGGTTCTCTGAAGTGTCCCTGAGCCCAGATAGTAAAATCCTTTACAGAATGATATTGTTTTTAATGCAGTGCTGCCAGAGGGGTCAAAGGTCACAGGCAATCAATGCTGGTTTCGGACCTTGCAGCTAATGTGCAGAGATTTCTCTGATTCTCTCAATCTTGTGGAGGCATGCAAATACAGCTTTGTCCACAGGGAGGCACAAAAACATACACAAACAAAAAGTTCGTCACAGCTGCTTTAAAGGACCTTGTTTGAAGCCATGCTCCCAAAGTCAATGATATGCTCACTGTGTGCTTGGGACTTTACATCATATTTTTTTCTAAAAAAAAAAAACAGAAAAAAAGGGACCATCTTTTGGTTAACCAAAATTTGACTAAAACCATCGAGAGCAAAAACAAGTAAAATGTGACTAAAACTAAAAAGCAGTCAAGTCTCAAGACTAAGACTAAATCTAAAATAGCTGCCAAAATGAACAGTGTTATCCAATCATATATGATGTGTTATTAAATTAAACACAATAAAAAAAAAAAAACAACAGACTAGACTAAAGGCCTAAAACTAACAGCACTGGTGGTAAAGGGGACTTAAAGACTCTTTTTGTTTCCAGGAGGTGACATTCAGGCACGGGACAATGGCCGCAAGATGACTCCCAGGGAGTGGGCTCTTTTCACGGGTCGATATGAGACGGCCTACCTGATGTATCGTCTGATGGCGAAGCCCTGTGCCGAGCAGTTCTGTGACTCTTACCCCCTGGAGTGGCCGCTGCTGGAGGTTAAGAAATTCATCATGACTGCAGACCTGTTATTTAATGCACCACATAAAGCTGTTTAGACCCCAGAAGTAGATTCACTACAAGTGTGAAAGGTGTATTTTTCCAGTCGATTCCACTAAACTGCCATGTTTGATCTTGTTGTGCAGGAGCTGGTGGCCCAGGCTCAGGAGCAAAAGTCCTGCTGGAGGCGTTTGCTCAACTTCCTGTCCTGCTGCCCTTACAGGTTTTACATCAACAACAAGGTAAATGCTGTGGATGATGGCGTTTTTGATCATATGGTGCGGGTCACCACCTGCCTCTCCAGTCCTGTTATGGCCACAGCATGCCGCACCGTTTGTCCCAGCAGCCCGCCATGTATCGGGAAGCGACGTTACGCTGTGCCGGAGATCCTGAGGAGGCAGCGAGTGGCTGAGCTGAAGCGTCTGGGCCCAGATAGACTAAATAACTACAAGAGATTTTTCCAGAACTCTAGGGTCCTCCTCATCCCAAAGGTAAAGGATCGCAGGGCCAGCCTCCAGCCGCAGCTGCTGAGCGATGTGGCTGTGGCATCCACAGTGGCCATCAGAAGAGCCAGCCTTCTGCCCCTGGACATGCTGAGGAGGAGCAGCGTGCGGCCTGGCATTGTGGTGCCTAAAGTGAGACTGCGCAAAGCACCGACGCCAAGCTTCATTCCCGAGAAACTCAAACGCAACAGCAACCACAACCAGCTGCAGATCCCAAAGTGGAACTACAAGATGAAGAGAGTTGAGAGGAGGCAGGAGGAGGACAGGCAGAGACTGTTACTGCCTACACGAAGGAGATGACAGACGAGGACTTTCAAAACCCAAACTCCAAGAGACTGAACTTTTGACCCTTTGAGGAAATCTGCTGTTTAAAAGGTTGCTTTTATGTTGGTTTGGTTGCCTTGTTTCTACTCGTAATCATGTGTTTCCTCTGTGGGCCTGAATATGAGCTGTAGTGAGGGAGAACACTTAAACTCAGCAAAAACAAAAACAAAACAAAAAAAAAACATTTACTCCACAATAAGTCATGGTTCAAAAAGATGTGAGGAGATTTTTTGAAGAAAAAAAGAAAAAAAAAAGAGTTTGTGTTCTCATAAAATAAAGAACTTTTAGTGTTTGTGCAAGGTGAAAGAAAAAATTTCAGAAGAGGAACATTTTCACTGCAACAGGAAATCTTTTAAAAAATTTCAAGCTTCTGCATGGAGTTTTTTTTACATATTAAATAGACCAAATTTTATCCTTGATAGCCAACATTGACACAAACTAAGAGTTCTTCACTGGGGCGAAGTCAAAAAAGATCTTTCCTTTGACTTTGACACATTTTTACTTTATCTTAAACTTTTTCATAAGATGAATTCTTTATTCATAAATCACCAAACTTAAACCTAACTTTTAATTAATTTACTTCATTCTCATAAACTTCTGACATTCTTTCTCAAAAATTTACATTTTTCTTATAAAACCACTGCTTACTTATGGTTGCATTTAGACTTTTGTCTTGTTTACCACATTTATGTCTTGAATTATTTATTTTTCATAAATCAGGCTTTTTTCTGCAAATATACAATTTTTTCATTTTTTTTAATTTTATTTTTGTTTTTAGAAAAAAGAAATGAATGAATGAATCATTAGGGCTTGTCCACCGGAGAGGGGTGTGTTGAGTACAGTGAGGTGATTGGATGGAGAGGCGGAGCAGGAGATTGACCAATAGGAGCTGTCCGGGACAGATGGCTCCATTGGTCAATGTTTGTGCAGCCCTGCACCTTCTAGGGTGAACAGATTTATTCCATTCTTTTTTCTCTTCACTTTGTGGAGATCACACAATAGGACCATGATATCCATGTAAACGAGGTTCATAACAATTACCAATCTCTCCAATCCTCAACCATGCCTTTAATACACACAAACACACACAAACGCACGCACGCACAGTCGGTTGTCCAGTTTTTGAAAAAAGAACATATTTTTCATTCTTTGGTCAAGCTGCTAAATACTTTTTTAACATACAATATCTTGAAATGATCAATTCTGTTAAACTTTACAGGACTGTGACTCAAATCATGACAAATAAGACACTTTTACTAGAAGACAAATGTTTGCCAAGGTTTCAGTCTTTTAGTTTATTTCTAATGCCTGGCACTGACACTCCAAGTTTCTTTTTCAAATAATAAATGGTTTCTCCCTGTTCCCATTTTTGTTTTATTTATGAGCAGCTCTGTTAAGTCTGTGTAAGTCCATCTGCCTATCTCTAACACTCAGAGCTGTGTTAGTGATGTACAATGTAGATTTTTGGACCCTGTCCAGATAACCAATAAGAACCTTCTTCTGATTTAGTGTTTTGAAAGTTTATGACTGACAGCTCCTCTGGCTATTACGCTTACTATTGACAAGTTGGCCTTCATACAACCTCACTTGATCTGGAGATTCAAATTTCCCAGGAATTAACCTCAGGTGGGGAAAGCTGTGGTTTGAAAAAGCACACAGGTAACAGCCAGATTTCACTGGATGGAGCTCAGAGCTCAGACACAGTCAGATCCGGGATGGTCTCTGACTCCTGCAGCAGATTGCCATGGAAAAGACGTGCTGAGCATGCAGGAGGAGGCCAGGAAGCCATTTACAACCACACTCTGTACAGCAGGTATCTGCACGGAGGCGTATGAGAGCGTTTGACAGCTGAGTATCCAATTCTTTACTGATAGGTCAACTGGACTTGTTTGGGGTTCTTGAGGACATTCCTCCTCTCTTCTAAAAGGCTTCTTCAGTTCTGGGGTCAAAGTTGGAATTGTATAGCCTCTGTTTACAGCTTCTACTTCACTTGATGTAAACTTGATCCAGGTGCTGTCCACATATCTAAACCAGTGGCTCCAACTTCCTCTGTTATGGCATGGAATTTCGTGTTGGGTTTGTAGTGATTTGAAATGAGCCTCATACGGTCGCACCAAAATATATGTAGCGATTTGAAATGAGCCTCACAAGGCCGCACCAAAATAATACTTGGCGATTGGAATTTATAATAAATGTCTGAAGATTAATAATCTCAAATTATGACATTTATGCACTCGTTGAAAGGGGCACCACCCACCCTTAATGGTGGGAAAATAAAGAAAACAAAAGTTTAATTCAGAAATCAAACATCAAGTCAGTCTTAATTAATCAGTCTTAATTAATCAGTCTTAATTAATCAGTCTCATATCTTAAGTCGAAATTCTAATTTCAGGGACTCCACTTCTGGAAGAACACTAACAGACAGGAACTTAGAAAAATAATGATCTGTTTATTACAGGATAAATGATAGTACAACACACATGCAATAAATGATGATAAGATAATGAGGATAAAATAATAATAGGTGAATAAATAAAGATTCTGAGTCAGGCTAGGAGCACTAAAGTTAATGATAGTGAGTGAATATGCGCTAACATATTAACCTACACTAACTTTGGTGTCGAGATAAACTCGGGTGTAGATTTGGAGGAATCTAAGATCACCAGAAATAGGTGGATATCTGAGTTATGAACGCGTGAGACAGCATCAGCCCTGTCTGGAGCTCTGGAGGTTTGCATACTTAAGTGAGACTGGTCCTTGGAGAAGATGGAGCAGGTTCCGAAGGTCCGGGGCTACTGGCGGTTCGAGCGGTTCAGCTCAGAAGACGACTGAAGTCAGCCGAAGGATGAGCCAGGAGTTGCAGCACTCGGGCCCGAAGCAAAGCCAGCGCCTGTGGATCCTGTGGATGCTCGTTTGGGTACTTCTTTGGTCTCACTCAAAAACTCTAGCACAGAGGATGACCTGGGCCTGCTGGGTTGCGTTCAGAGGTGACTTTGAAATCACGCAGAAAACTCAGAAAAACGAGGCTCGAAGAGCAGAGAAAACTTTCAAAAATGGCTTCGCGAAATTAGAGAAAAATCAATCAAAGGCTTAATCTTGAATTGCTATGCGCACAAAAAGTTGAAGTTTCAAAACTTGAACTAAGACGATGTTAAAGAAAAATCAACGTGAATCAACACGTGGCGTAAAACTTAGAAGACTAAGAAAAAGTTCTAAGAGAAAACAAAGAAACGCACCACAGAAGGGTGTGGACAGAAGAGAAGGGGCATAAGAGCCGGGGACAAGAGAGTCAGCAGAAGAGCAGAAGCATAAGAGGAATAAGAGAGATAAGAGAGAGAGCAACCCCACTCCACTGGTTTTATCTTCTCACACTGGGAGTGTCTGAGGAGAAAGAGGAGGGGTCATCGGGTCTCTGATTATTTGATCTAACTTATTCTTTTGGCTGGTAAAAGAGTCAGATCTGATACTCACTCACTATGATTAATGTCATTGAATGCTTGGTTTCATGATAAATAATTTGATACTAAACACATATGAATGAAGTGTAGGATCACATCAAACATTCTCATTATGTTTTAAGTATCACATTGAACATGCTAAATTACTCTGAAATGAAACAGATAGTAACACATAGAAACTGTGAACAACAAAAGAGTAAACACATGTGAATGAACGTCATCATGATTAATAATGGATTCTAAATACTCACATTCAGATTATTCAGTGACATTATAACCACCTAATGGTTAAGATACTAAATAAATAACTAAAATATAAACCAAACATTTCTAAACTATTTCTGTTACTTAGAGTAAACTTAGGATTCATAGTCAATAAATTTAACTCTTAAAAGTTCATGAAACAGTCTGAAAAGCTGTTGGTCTAAAGAACAAAAGAATAAGGATTTATTCTGTCAGATAAGATAACTTGGCTTCTGAAGCACATAGAAAAACGGGAAACATCTCATTTTAACACAAATTTCATGATTAGACAGATTAGTACATTGCTGAATGCATAAGATGTCATGATCAGTCATTTGTATTCTTTCACCAAAGGAATGCAGTCTTTATCAGTGTATGGTCGAGCAGGGTTTTACGACCGAGGTCTGGAGGTCAGTGTCCCCCCTTATCCTGGGGTCCGTATGTTCACACACTTTAAGACGCTTAATCTCAAATGGGAGATCTGGGTTAAGGTTAATGTTTATTTAGATGGTCAGCAAATGGAGTCAGTTTGAAAGGTAATAAAAACTCTGTCTCTGTTCGCCGAACTGACCAATCCTGAAGAGTCAGAGGTTTAGTCAACCTCCGGTTGGGTCACTTATTTAACCTGAAAGTGCAAACACGTCTGGAAAGATTTATATCCTGTTTCCTGGGACCAGATAAGGAAACTTTCCTGTAAGGAATGTGTGGGTTTCACATCCAGGGTTGTCTTGATTGCTACAGTCCCCCCTTCGTCACGGTGGTCCTGTCCATGGAGCATCGGGACGACGAGTAGACAACCATGAAGCAGCAGCAGCAGCAGCAGGTGTATGCAAATAGGACTGATGCGTCTCGTCATCACTATGTGAATCACTAGTACTGCTTTGAGATAAAATTAAGCATGCATTAAGCTATCAAATAAAATCGTCTAGTTGTTAGACTCTTCTCAGTTAACTATTGGTAGACTAATGTGAAAGAAAATCTCCTAATTTTCAATATTAATGAGACTTAGAAAAGCACTCTTTAGTCTGAATGCTAACTGGATCTAAAGCTATAGCTGTTTTTCATGCTTGCTGGAGAAGTCTGAAAGTTCAATTTCAGTTTCAAAAATGGTTAAGACTTAGGTGGAAAAGAAATGTCTGCTATAGACATATTAACCATCTGTGTATGAGCATAGTCAACCTGAATCACAAACATCAAAAGTTTACTGCACAGAGTTTCTCTTAAACTTTGTCTGTTAAACTTGGGGATGATGCTCTTATCGGTTTGACTAATTATCTGCTATTAAGTCTGAAATTTGTCAATCTGAGTCTTAATGACAGAAATTTCAGGTTTTAATCTGTTCATGGGATATTTGACAGCTGACAAGCTGACTATATTGACAGAGGAGAGACAAATGCTAACAAAGAAAGCAGCAACTGGGATTGCAGTCATCAATGTATCACCACAGCATTTGGATATCTTATTGGAGTCATTTAGCTTTGGCTGGGTGACTTCTGCTTTCGCAGGACTCACACCTTCATGACTCCACAGTGTTAATCTCAGTGGTTAGCTGAGTAGTCATGTTTATTCACCTTCAAAGTGGATGAAACCGATTGAGGTGGATAATAAGATCGTCGTTTCTGAGAGTGTGATTTACTCTGATTCTGCCAGTCATTCACCCCCCTTTGGTGGTGTTGGTGGTTTTTCCTTTGTCTGGGATAAAACCCACCGTGACGGGAGTCTGAATAACAACAGTTGGTCTCAAAGTTTACCGGGCATTGGTCTGTGTCAGACCTGGGCCTTGGTGTGTAACTTTGACCTTTGTGAGTGTGTTGAGGTCGAAAAGGTTTTGGAGGCCTGGTTAACCACTCATTTGGAGGCTTATCGGAGCCTGAAAATACACAATCTGAAGCTTCGTTCAGCTCCATGGGCAGTGATTTTGTCTCCATAGCCAACAGAGTAACAGGCTCTGCTTTCTTAGCCAAAGTTTGTCGTTGTTTGGCAAAACCTTTTACAGCAAGTTCACGAAGCTGTCGGCTAGTCAAAGTGTTTGGACAAGCTAAGACGCCAAGGTGATGACTGGTGGTAGGGTGGAGGTTCTGGACGAACAGCGTTTTGAAGTTCAAGTCCTCCTCCATTTCTGGTTCATTTCGGAAACCAAAGTAAGCTTCGCGTAAGCGGTTGTAATATTGTTGGGGAGGTTCTGATCTCCCTTGTTTAATAGACAGAGCAGCAGAAAGGCCTGTCTGGGTCAAATGATCAGAAAACTCTTCAATTAATGCTTGGCAGAGCAAGTCATAATTATTTCTGACATGATAAGGCTGTCGTTCAAGGAAACTGCTAACCTCTCGACTTGACGTTGCCTTAATAAGGTAGATCTTGTCATCAATGGTTGCACCTGGAAATTTCCTCAGGTAAAAGTCAATGTCTTTCAAGTAGGTGCAGGTGTCAGTAGCACCTTGGTGCTCAGGTTCAAAGCGTGCTATGTTGCGAGCAATTTTGTCAAGATCCCTATCTGAGGGAGATGGTAAGAAGCCATCATGAGGAGGAGAGTAGGACTCTTGGTTTAAGGATGACCTCTCAGGGTCAAGCAGGGTCCTGTCATGATGCTGAGAGAGATACTTAAGAGTTGGTTTGGAAGGAAGTGATGGCGCTCTCTCAGGAGGCTGATCACCTATCATTTCTTCAAGAAACGTTTGCTCCATGCGTTCTCTTTGGGCTCGACCTGACTGGAGGGAGCATTGTAACTCTCTTTGGGCATCTTCAAGTTCTTTGTCTGTCTTTTCTTGCCGTTCTTGACAAAGAATTAACTGTCTTTGAGCTATCTGGAGCTGGTGCTGTAAGGTAGAAGTTTGCTTCTCCTTAACTTCAAGAGCTTCAGCACGCACTTTGACCAGTGCTTTCAAAGTTTTTACATCTTCTGTTGCTTGCTCTAGTAGGGATTCTGACTGTATCAGATCCTCTGTGGTCTTAGCAAGCTGCTTATTCGTGTCATCAAGTTCTTTCTCCTTTTTGTAAAGGGTTTCATTAAGTCTTTCAATCTTGTCTTTGAGATCAAGATTTTCTTCATGACTTATCAGTGAGGGAAGCTTTGACGCTTCACATCTGGCACTGTGTTTTTCTAAAACACTTAGAGACTTCTTAGTCTCCTCTAGCGTCTTTTTCAGAGCGCTGTTTTCGTCTTTTTGCGCCTTTATCTTTGCTAAAGCGCATTCCAGCAAGTAGTCTTTATACTCAAGCTGAGAAGACATCATGACAGACATGCATCTAGTGAGCTCTTTGTCACGAAGTGTCGTGGTTAAGGCTGTTTCCAGTAAGTCAGCCATTGCATCCTCCGGATTGGAGGGTTTGGCCTTTTGAATCTTAGTCATGTATTGAGGTATCAACTGACTAGTCAAGTTTGCCAACACTGTGTGTATGTCCCTCAGGGGGTCTCCCTGGCTGGACTCTTTTGTGTTAGGCATGTTTGGTTTTGGTAAAGAGGTGCAGCTGGTTGGTTGATGAGTTTGAGTTGACTTAAAATGAAAGGAAGAAGCAAAATATCAAATTAAGTGGGTTAATCGACTTAATTTATCAGTGCTTGATAAAGAGAAAGAGCCTATCTGAGTAGATCTCTAATGGAGAGAAAAAACCATAAAGTTAAATTCATTTCAATGAAAATTGAAAAAAGTGAAATGATGTTAAATTAAATTTAACATCAGATACAGAACCATTGAATAAAGGGTTCAATTTGTCTCTGTGTTGCAGAGATCAGCAAAGCTTAAATAAACTGCCTGCTGCAGTTGGATGAATTTGAAAAATCAATGAAATTGTCAATTAAGGAATTAACTCTGAAATTAATTCACAAATCGCAATAAAGCCAAAGATTCAACTACCCAATTCATCTGAAATGTTAAAAGAAATTTCAAGTATTAATTAATTTGTTCATTAATTAATTAATCTTATGAGGAGGGTTAATACATTCATGTATTATAGGGAACAGTAAAACTGCTCAATGGTGTGATAAGTAACAACAAGATCAGGTGATTGATTCAAGGAGTTACTTCATCAATACCTTACGGAGGCTCTTATAACAAAGATTAAAATCAAAAATCAATGATCAATGATTTAGAATAAGCACATCAAACTTCATCAACCAAGTCAATCACTTGAGTTATGTCTGTAGAGTGTTACACACTGACTACAGAGAGGCAGTACAGCTAGCTGATACTGCAGACAGATAATAGCAGTGTTAGCTCAATACCAAAAGCAACCATGTGGGGCAGTATGGAGTTGGGGTAACTGCACAAGCTCAACACAAGTGGAGAAGAAGAAGAAAAGAGGAAACAGTCATCCAACTAGCCTCTTGTGGCTGTGTGAAGTTGGGAAGTATGCAGGAAGGGGCCTTTAGGCTCTGCCTCCTTGAAGGGCCTTATCTGCTTAAGGTCAAATGGTCAGTCTCTCCACTGACAACAAAGGGTTAACATTTCACAGCAGGCTGCATCTGCACCCTCAAACATAGAACTTTCCACCATCTGCTCAGGCAGATTGGTTCAATAAAATCATTTACAGGAACAAGAATCAAAGTGGCAAATCCCTCAACAGCAGATTCAACTGCAGACTTAAAAATCACAAATGCGGCGATTTGTGATCACAAATTTTATCTGAATTCATTCAAACAACAACCTCCCACTGTTACAGTGGTTTCCTGTGACAGTTAGCTTATCTGTCAGGGGAAAGGAGGAAATCTAAATCCCATATAGTTACTAGAACTTCATAGCAGACTATAGTGACAAGAATCAAAGTGACAAATCCCTCAACAGCAGATTCAACTGCAGACTTTAAAATCACAAATGCGGCGATTTGTGAACACAAATTTTGTCTGAATTCAATCAAACAACAACCTCCCACTGTTACAGTGGTTTCCTGTGACAGGTAGCTAATCTGTCAGGGGAAAGGAGGAAATCTGAATCCCATATAGTTACTAGAAACTCGTAGCAGACTACAGAGACTTCAGGGGCTTGAAACCACAGCTCGGAGCATCGCGAACACTGGGTTCAGCCAAAGGCCTTAAATACAAGCGTACGGCGACGCAACAATCGTGCACTTAAATATTGGACAGTCTAGACAGAGCAGAAGAAGCAGTCTCACTGCTACTCAGAACAACATTTCACGCTGTCCAGCTCAAACACAGACTACAGGCATGTAGTACAAAAGTGTGTGAAACACAGAGCATAAAGGTTTTATGCATAGATCAGGAAACATCAGAACTTAGTCAAGCAACTTCAGCAAGCATAGCATTTATTGTGATTAAGTCTAGGATAGCCTGGAAATAAGTTTCTCTCATCAATTTGGAAGGCTAAGTTTTAGGTTGTCTGTTAGTATCCAGAAGTTTTGTTTGAAACGCCTCACGCAGGGGCTCCAAAATATATGTAGTGATTTGAAATGAGCCTCATACGGTCGCACCAAAATATATGTAGCGATTTGAAATGAGCCTCACAAGGCCGCACCAAAATAATACTTGGCGATTGGAATTTATAATAAATGTCTGAAGATTAATAATCTCAAATTATGACATTTATGCACTCGTTGAAAGGGGCACCACCCACCCTTAATGGTGGGAAAATAAAGAAAACAAAAGTTTAATTCAGAAATCAAACATCAAGTCAGTCTTAATTAATCAGTCTTAATTAATCAGTCTTAATTAATCAGTCTCATATCTTAAGTCGAAATTCTAATTTCAGGGACTCCACTTCTGGAAGAACACTAACAGACAGGAACTTAGAAAAATAATGATCTGTTTATTACAGGATAAATGATAGTACAACACACATGCAATAAATGATGATAAGATAATGAGGATAAAATAATAATAGGTGAATAAATAAAGATTCTGAGTCAGGCTAGGAGCACTAAAGTTAATGATAGTGAGTGAATATGCGCTAACATATTAACCTACACTAACTTTGGTGTCGAGATAAACTCGGGTGTAGATTTGGAGGAATCTAAGATCACCAGAAATAGGTGGATATCTGAGTTATGAACGCGTGAGACAGCATCAGCCCTGTCTGGAGCTCTGGAGGTTTGCATACTTAAGTGAGACTGGTCCTTGGAGAAGATGGAGCAGGTTCCGAAGGTCCGGGGCTACTGGCGGTTCGAGCGGTTCAGCTCAGAAGACGACTGAAGTCAGCCGAAGGATGAGCCAGGAGTTGCAGCACTCGGGCCCGAAGCAAAGCCAGCGCCTGTGGATCCTGTGGATGCTCGTTTGGGTACTTCTTTGGTCTCACTCAAAAACTCTAGCACAGAGGATGACCTGGGCCTGCTGGGTTGCGTTCAGAGGTGACTTTGAAATCACGCAGAAAACTCAGAAAAACGAGGCTCGAAGAGCAGAGAAAACTTTCAAAAATGGCTTCGCGAAATTAGAGAAAAATCAATCAAAGGCTTAATCTTGAATTGCTATGCGCACAAAAAGTTGAAGTTTCAAAACTTGAACTAAGACGATGTTAAAGAAAAATCAACGTGAATCAACACGTGGCGTAAAACTTAGAAGACTAAGAAAAAGTTCTAAGAGAAAACAAAGAAACGCACCACAGAAGGGTGTGGACAGAAGAGAAGGGGCATAAGAGCCGGGGACAAGAGAGTCAGCAGAAGAGCAGAAGCATAAGAGGAATAAGAGAGATAAGAGAGAGAGCAACCCCACTCCACTGGTTTTATCTTCTCACACTGGGAGTGTCTGAGGAGAAAGAGGAGGGGTCATCGGGTCTCTGATTATTTGATCTAACTTATTCTTTTGGCTGGTAAAAGAGTCAGATCTGATACTCACTCACTATGATTAATGTCATTGAATGCTTGGTTTCATGATAAATAATTTGATACTAAACACATATGAATGAAGTGTAGGATCACATCAAACATTCTCATTATGTTTTAAGTATCACATTGAACATGCTAAATTACTCTGAAATGAAACAGATAGTAACACATAGAAACTGTGAACAACAAAAGAGTAAACACATGTGAATGAACGTCATCATGATTAATAATGGATTCTAAATACTCACATTCAGATTATTCAGTGACATTATAACCACCTAATGGTTAAGATACTAAATAAATAACTAAAATATAAACCAAACATTTCTAAACTATTTCTGTTACTTAGAGTAAACTTAGGATTCATAGTCAATAAATTTAACTCTTAAAAGTTCATGAAACAGTCTGAAAAGCTGTTGGTCTAAAGAACAAAAGAATAAGGATTTATTCTGTCAGATAAGATAACTTGGCTTCTGAAGCACATAGAAAAACGGGAAACATCTCATTTTAACACAAATTTCATGATTAGACAGATTAGTACATTGCTGAATGCATAAGATGTCATGATCAGTCATTTGTATTCTTTCACCAAAGGAATGCAGTCTTTATCAGTGTATGGTCGAGCAGGGTTTTACGACCGAGGTCTGGAGGTCAGTGTCCCCCCTTATCCTGGGGTCCGTATGTTCACACACTTTAAGACGCTTAATCTCAAATGGGAGATCTGGGTTAAGGTTAATGTTTATTTAGATGGTCAGCAAATGGAGTCAGTTTGAAAGGTAATAAAAACTCTGTCTCTGTTCGCCGAACTGACCAATCCTGAAGAGTCAGAGGTTTAGTCAACCTCCGGTTGGGTCACTTATTTAACCTGAAAGTGCAAACACGTCTGGAAAGATTTATATCCTGTTTCCTGGGACCAGATAAGGAAACTTTCCTGTAAGGAATGTGTGGGTTTCACATCCAGGGTTGTCTTGATTGCTACAGGTTATAGGCTCCAACATCAAGCAAGCATGGCAAACCTGAAGAGACCCAGAAAGGCACCCCTCCAGGTGAAACCAGGTCTACGACCCTGCTAACAAATCTCAGGTGACCACCCACCCCTTTTACAGCTTGATGACTAACAGAAGCTTCAAACTTTGGCCCCAGTCCCTGTAGAACTGAAGAAGACTTGAAAGAGAGGAGGAACATCTTCAAGAACCTCAAACCAGTCCAGTTGACCTATCAGTGAAGAATTTGATACTCAGCTGTCAAGAATTGAATGACCATGACCTGGGTAAATAAGAACCTACACAGACACTTTGACAGCTGAGCCAAGGAGGCCAGTTCACACAGGCTTTGAGGAGAGTTTGAAAGGTAGAGCCAAAAATAAAATGCTTGGTGCCACACTGTGACATGATCCCCTCCCAAATAACCACAGCGGGTTTTCCACTGCTTCTGTCTACTGCTGGACCAGACCTGGGCTCTCAGACAACTGGGTGGGCCACTACATGTCTGTGTTGTTTATGCATTATGACAGCAGTGCAGGAAAACACACCCACTTATGATAAAAGAAAAAAGTATATATATATATTGAATGTACTCTTGACAGAACGACAGTAAGGAAAGCTTATCAGATATGTTAGTTCTGGTTTCAACTTCTGATTGGTTAAAATGTTGCACAGGATTCATGGCTTATACCACCAGCAATTGAAGCAAGAATAGAAGCTCAGTGGGGCCAAATTTATTTCATCTGTCCTTTTCTCAGAATTATGAGATTTAAGTCTGATATTCTGAGATGTAAGACAAAATTCTGAAATCAGAGTCTGAATTCAGAGTTTTGAAAAAAGGTCAGGATTTTCAAGTTACAAATCTCACTGAATGCTCCTTTAATAACTAAATAATGTTTTTTTACGGATCTGACTTTAGTACAAAGCTAGTTAATCTTTGATCACCTAAAGGAAGATCGAACTTGAGACTTATTTGTCTCTGGGACTGGACAGGACTACAGGGAGACTGAGGACTGGGTTTCTTTTCATCTTTGCCAAAAACTGTAACTTAAAAGTTATAAAACACAGGACCAAAAATCTTAGGATACCTCATTTCCTCTTCTTCTGCAGGTTTTCCATTGATTTTTTTTTTTCTGTCACTGGGATGTAAGCTGGTGGAGGATTTCTTTATAAACTGTGTTGAAAATGCAGGGAAATAACTCTTAAGAGAAGGGAAACTAAATGTTAATGCCAAAGTCCACATAAAGTTGTCACATCATCTCTGGCCTCTGAGCAAATATTGTAATTCATGCTTGAATATTAAATATTTTGTTGGTCATTGATAATATATTAAAGATGTCAGGGTCACTTTTAAGTAGAAATCAATAAGATGTTGAGGAAGTTGTAATACTACAAGTATAACATCATAAATTGATAAAAATAAAGTTATACATTTCTGAGAATGAAGTCATCATTTCCGTTTGTGGTTCAGTTTATATTTTCATTTGCAGCCAGCAGCCTTTGCTAAAATCTCAAATGTGCATCACCTGCTAAAGTTAAACTTGGGTTAATTCGTCACTTCTAATCTTGGAGCACATCAGCACCACATTGTCACTTAAAAATCAGGATTGTGAAGGAAAAGCAGTTTATTGTGGAGACAGACTCATGAAAGAGCTGTGTATGCACACTCCTGCAACTGCAGTTCATCAAAGATATGTTATTATATTATTGAATTATGTATTTAGATGACTGGTCCTCATCTCTGTACAGGTGTCTGGCTGTCTTTTGTTATCTCTCTATGTACCATTTACATGAAGGCTGACCAAAGCCTTAAATTATATCTAAAAATACAACTTTACAAACAAGAGATTACAGAATCATTCTAACATTCAAGGTTTTAATTCTACTGATTAATTTGAATAATTTAAGGACATAACTTTTTTCATTATCATTATATTTGAACAACACCTACGATCACGTCTCTCACAAAATTGTTTTTCTCTAAATTTTAAAACTTTTTCTTACATTAACATCACTGTTTCACAGCGTAACAACTTAGTTTTTGCCATTTTGCCTCTTTATTTCTAAATTTGCTTTTTTTTTTTTTACCCCCCTACATTCACAATTATTTCCTCATAAACTTATAGTCTCAATTTTTTTGCAACTCTTTTATCCAAGCCATATTTTTGTAAGGTTATGCCTATTTTTTGTCTGTCAAGTCAGCAGAAGAGGAAAAAAAGGAAAATTGGTCCTAAGAGAGTTTGAGGTAGAAAAAAGGAGGCACATCAAGGTTAATTTAAACCAGCCCTCAGAGTTTGTAGTATGTTTAGATGTTCATCACCAACTACTTGTACTGTTGTGAGATGAGATGCATCCAGAGTGTATTTGATTAGGAGATGTGTCTCTCTCCTCGCCTTTGCTTTGCATAGCAGGACTGTAATGGAAAAAAAAGCAGACCTGACCCAAAGCCTTCAGAAATCAAATCCGTGCACGTGGCATCAGTCTGCACAGACTAAAATGGCCGCCACCCTGACCTGAGGTGCAGCTTCTGCAATGACCACTAGAGAGCACTCATGACCCTGTGCATGTCATTACAGCTGCATGTGGCATCACGGTGAACACATGAAGGCATATTTTAAAGTGTGCCCTCAAGTGAGCTGCACATACACACACACTTACAGGCCAGGTGAATAAAGACAGCTCTCTGCAGGTAAAACTGATTCAGATAAAAATGAACAACTTTACAATCATAGTTCATTTTTTTCTGATCCAAGTTCATGGTTCCAAAAAATTAATCAGTTCATGTCCTGTCTCTTTCCTTTAGCAGATGCATCTGTATTTTTAACAGTCGAAGCTCCTCAGCTTTAATCCTTTATCTTTAATTTGTGAAATTTTTTAGGATACATGAAATGCTTTTGAACCATTGACACATTCAGCCACTGTTGTTTGGGTTGCAAAAAAATGCTGAAGAGGGTTTTCAATGGAACCGGGTCTCTACGCCCATGCCTGCTCCTACCACCTTACTCTGCTAGTCACTGAGGAAGTTTTGGTTTGTGTGAATTTTATTGCGCTCCCTGTAAACAAAGCAGTATGCCAAACTCTATACTTTTTTTTTTCTGATGATAAAAAAACCTTGGTCTTTGTTGGGTGTGCCATAAGTCACATGGTCACACACCTACCAGCCTACATCGGTTTAGACAACGTGGTTTTCTGTCCTCATGCTGACCGTTTTGTTTCCTTATGTAGGAAATAAAAAAAAATATCACAACCACTTTCAGCCATTTTAATAACCAGATTAAAACTTACAGGAGCTTGAAAGTGTCGTCTTTGCAGTCAAACCAGGACTCCACATGATTAATATGCTAAAAATCTTTGTGTCATTATTTGCCTTAAGTGCATCATTACGATCTTAACAAGGAGAAAAACATTTGAAAAAATAGCACAGCTGGACTGCTATGGCTATGGCTTTGTACATTAAAACTGTTACTTGCTTTCCTTTAATGGTGTAATGGTCAGGAGTGAAAACCTTTCCCTCTGCTGAGTCCTCAGTGTCTATGTCTGCTAAATGAATGTTGAATGTGTTTACTTTTGAAGGGTTTTAGTTATTTTTTCTGTTTCATTGTCAGTGGTTTGTCATTTTGCTTGTGAGATCTACCCCGATAAGAACGAGCAGACTTTGTTTTTATAAATGAAGGCTAAGGAACAGTTAAGGCAGGCTTATCTTTCTTTGAGAAATATTTGTTGGTTTTTTACTCACCAAATAAACTGGAAGTGGAATTAATAATCCACAAGAACCAGAGTCCAAAAAACGACAGTACCCAACCCCAGTTTCTATGACATCTCAAACTTTAGAAATACCTAACAGTAAAAGAGGCTGTTTATTTTTTTTTGACTCTTGTCTGACTTAGTCTCCAGTCTATTTGGTTGTCCTTCAAACATTCGTCCTTTGCTTTCTGGCGACCACTGATGAATTTCCAGATGTTGGAGTGTCCTTGAACTCACCATCTGAGAGAGGTACAACATTGAAACTGGAAAAACAACACATGACTGAATAGTCATTTGACACTATGTTTTACTGAGTAAACTTAAT